GACAAAACAACTAGTGAGGTAGATGGACTGGAGACACTTGGACAGAACAAATGAAAAGGAGGAAGAAAGATTTCCTTTTATTTTTTGCCAAATTCATCCACCTAAAAAGAAGAATGTTTCCTTAACCCTCCCATTGCAAGTTTGTGTGAGCAACATATCTATTGGTGATTTTTTTTGGTTGTTAGTGGAGGGAATTATGGATCCCAAATTATCTGGATTGAGCCGTTGAAAACACTGTCTGAGGTGATTTTTTTTGTTTCAGCCCTTCTGGTTAGCCTCTGCAATGATGGCTGGGATTGAATGATGAAATATGGAGGTCTTCCTGATGCAACTACTTGGTAATGGTAGTTCAGAAGCAATAAACATCAGTCTGATATATGTAGTGGGCTGTCCCTCCAAAGATGCTGCAATGAGTTTGGAAGAGAGTCTGGTTCTCAAGATGAGTGCAATGAGTGTTGGATGACTTGTGCTGGAAATGATTCAGAATTTTTTTGTGGCTCCTGAAGATTGTAATCCTTTGGATACAAAGTGTTTCCATTTTGCCTATCCACATTTCTGTTATAGTTGGTGATACATATGTCCCCATGCATGAATTTCTTAAAGAGTTCAAGCCTAGTTTTGCTTATATCAACACATGCTGTTGGGTTTTATGTGGGAGCAACTAAAACCAAGCTTATATGCATTCAACCAGTTTATAGTGTTCCTGCTTTTTGCCTTGTCATTGTTCATGAATCTAATCATGAGGTGACTTGAAATCTATCGTCACTTTTTTTCAAATATTGCAGTCCGTGCTTCCATAATTTTCACATCTTTCTAAAGTAGAAAAAGTATTTGATAGTTCTTCTTTTATTAATAGTCTGGATTTTGTATTCTGAAAATTATAATTTTACTTCAGGAGATGGTGTTTTTTGTGTTAATGTGAATATCTACAAAGATTTAATGGAATGACAAGTTGTTGCTCATTGCAAGTGTAATTGGCTGACATTCCGTAGTTTTATGCAGGAGGTCAGACTAAATCATCTAATATAGGTCCCTTTGGGCATTAATATCTATGAAAATTACAAATGATATATATAGTATTTAGTCTTGGGTATAAATGTGCTTGTGTTACAGAGGGCTACTGTTCAGTTTCTTTGCATATTTCTGAAATAGCCCTCTATTTAAAACTTTTCCAGGCTGAATTTCTCCTGGATGTTGTATAGGATTTACCCACTTAAAGATTCTGGCTTATTTCACAGTAGTGGTAGATCTGGCACAGCTAAAGTTGTGTTACAGATTTCAGTTTAAATGAGGTCTTAAGCCTTTATTTTGTCTTTAAAAAAAAAAAAAAAAAAAAAAAGCAAAATAAACCTTCACCCAAGTGGCAAAAATTAATATATACTATATATAAACTTAGAATACTATTGAAAGCTTTCTGTAGTTTGATGGAAAATGAATTATAGAGATGAGGCTCCCTCCTCTACCATTTTTTTGAACTGGACTTGTGTAGCTTTTATTGGACCTCTGTAGCAGAAAGTCTAAAATGCTCTGGTATTTTACAGTTATTCAGCCACAATGACAAATTCATGTGAAATTGTGAACCAGGCAAACTTTAATTAGACAACAAATGTGCTATCACGTGAGCATTGTCTCTCTTGCAAGTGGTAATAAAAACACAAGGTCAAGGAGGAAGCGGGGGAAGAGAGGAAGAGTCTTGATTACCTACTCCTCTGCTGTCCAACAAGACTAAGGGGTTCAAATTTTGCCTCTAAGTGTTATTTTAATTAACATGCAACTCACTACCCTTATTGTTGAGGGAAGAGTTACTAGAAACAACCCTACTTGCCTTCGCACCTTCTGCCCCTCCCCCCACCTCCCAGTTAAAAGTAAAAAAATTAGAGTTTAGTAGAAAGCTTTTGCAAAGTCACATCACAGTAGGAACAGAGCCCTTTAATATGACAGACCTACTTTTTTTTTTTTTTTACACTTCTTCCTGTTGAATGTCAGTGCCTAAATCTGTTTTGATCACCTTCTAATCTTTGCCAGAGCTGTGGACAGGATCCAGGTTTTCTGCCCCCCCCCCTTGCTACAACGGACTAGCAATTAGCTGTTCAGGCCACTATGAAAGTATGTGAAACCCTCTTCCTTTGACTGGTCTAGAAAAGAAGTAGCAATTACTTCTGCAGCTCAAATAGCTAGGCCTAAGCTAAGGATAATAATGTTGAGACATTTAACCCCTGTCCCTGTTGTTTGTCTAGAATGGTATAGTTGTACTTGTTTTGCAAATGAAAAGATTGATCACTGTACTTAAACCAATTTACAGACTAACAGTTTTTATGTGTTCAGCCAAAATGTATCTGTCATGTTATTCATGTCTGTCATATTTTGCTTATGTAACCCACAAGCATGTGTGAGAGAGAGAAATGCCATCCCATCTATGCCTCATCCATAAAGGACATGGGTCTATGATAGCTTTTAGTTAGTCTGGTTCTTTAGCACAGGCAGTGAAAATGTTGTGCTTTTTATCTTTGGAAGTTGTTGGTCCAGGCCCTGATTTTGTCTAAGATAACTGCTATGAGCCTTAAAGAATACCTAGAAGGTTCCTATGGCTGATAGGTAATGTCCTCAAGTGAGCATGGGTGGGGTTTTTTTGTACTTACTTTTGGTAACTTTTAAATAAGGGTAAAATGCTGTGCACAAAGAAATAGAGGCATGTTATAGCCTCTTCTCCTGCAGAAAGATTGACATAGACAGGAACAGCTTCAACATTCCAGTTTCTTTCTCTGATTCCCAGGCAGGTGGAGCCCCACTTCTCCCTGAATTTGGACATCTACCCATGGAGGTACACCAAAGCTACATTCAAAACATATTAGTGATAATGCAGATAAAGGTCTATCTCCAAGGAATACCCAAAGTGCAATATAAGCATCAAACCTATCAAATTTGTGTTTAAAAGAGAACCTTAACTGTGACCTCAACAATGTTAAGAGACAATGACTTTGTAAATGTGCAGTGGTCAGATGTGCTCATCTGCTGCATATAACCAGCATAAAAGCATGTGAGGTTGGGTTATGTACTGCTTTTCAGTATTTGTTGGAGATGGAAGTGAAAGCCTTATATGGAGTATGTTATCAACACTGGTAAGCATTAGAGAGGGAAAGGAAGACACAGGTCTTTCCCCATATCTTACTTCTGTAGTTTCAAGATTTTTGGATGGATGGATATCCTGTCTCTAAATGTAGTTTTTGTTTTGTCCATCCCTAGTAGTAATGATCAATGTCTTACCTAAATTTTGTACATGCTTTATCTTGACCTAAAATGTAATTAGTTTTGGTGATTATTAGTCAATAACATCAGAAAATGGGAAGTTCTGTATCTTTTACAGTCAAATGTAGCTTCCACTGCCATAAATCTTCCATCTAATCTTGGTTTCAATTAACTTTTCTTTAATATTAACACAATTTGATAATCTTTGAAATGGACAGTATTTATCTATTCATTGTATTACTAATAGAAAAAGAAAACAAATGTAAGATTCAGCTAGAGTCAGTATGCTATGAAGAGTGACTTTATTGTTGTGATATAGATTTGCATGTCTTTGAGGTTCTCTCCTATAGATCTTTGGCAGTAAAGTTTATAAATATGAATATATTTATGAATATGTAAAGGTAGATACTGATGAAAACCATTCTTTTAGCCATATATGGGTTTCTGCTTTTTAATGCTTTTATAACCACTTTATTAGTAAAATATGAAAGAAAGTTTTATATTTTTTCAGCATCTTAAACTATCTGCTTCTATTAAATAAGTATTATAATTATCAATTTGTGATGCTTTGATAATGGCTTGTACATTTTTAAAAACATTGTGTATAAGAGAATGATGAAATGAGCTAGAGACTGCCAGGATTTTCCGTGCAGCAAAGCTATGTTGTCATAAGGTTGTGTGTTTGTTTCTTATGGACAAAGCTAGGGCATGCATTTAAGGGGCCTTAACTGCACCTGTAGTCTGTCCCTTAACTGAAAGTTTCAAATCATTTTAAAGAAATATAGAATCTTTTCCCAAACTTAGTTTCAGGTTCCCTACCTTTGACATGCTTTTTTTGAGATGACTTACAGATTTTATCCCACTGAAATGAATTTTTCTAATTTTTTGGTGTGCTTCATCAGTTATTAAAAGGTTATGTTCTATGATGACAGTTTTTATGAATTACTCATGTGGTGGAATATTTCATATTTGACTTCAGTAGGGAATCTCATGATTTAAAATCACATAAAATATGCCTCTTATAAGAGCTGTTGTTTTGCTAAGCAAAACTTTTGCATCTGAATTGTTAATAAATCTATTGACTTGTTCACTGAGCTAAAATGTAACAACAAAAGCACCCATTCCTCAATATTGTTATAGTAACAAGGTAACTAGATGTTCAATAGTCTGTGGTTTGAGAGTCTCTTTATGATGTGTGGCTCTGTTATGATGAGTTAATACATAGGAATGGCACCTTATGAACAAGTATGATATGAGGGGTAGGCAAAATGGCGGATCCAGCTGGTGACCAAACTCCATTTCCCAGCAGTTCCTGCTTGTGTCACTGCAGCTGGTTTCCATGGATACCCCAGTAGCAGTGGGGCCAGGGCTTCAATGAAGACCGGGCCCCAGCAATTCTGGCAGAGTGCATGGCTGCCCAGGGTGCTGCTTTGGGGCCAGGGCTGGACTCTTGCAGTGATCACAACGTGGTCTAGGGCAGCGCTGTGATCTAATGCCTGTATGCCCCTGCCCATGCTGTCACAACCATAAGATCCCAGCCCTGGAGTGGCTCTGCATCCATGCATGCTGGGACTGGTCTCCATGAAAACCCTGGTCCGTGCTGTCATGGCCCCACTGCTACTGGGGTCTCTATGGAAACCAGCTGCAGCAACACGGGCAGGGACTGCTGGGAAATAGAGTCTGCCATGGGCCTCATCTGGCCCGTGGGCCAGACTTTGCCTGCCCCTGATGTACATGTATCGAACAGAGCAAGCAACTGTTAGTGGTAGATACAGTTTTTCTTTCTGTTTAGCTGTACAAAGTCAAAACAGCTGTAGGAAACTAAACAGAATTCTGCTCTGGCCTGCTCATCAGAATGATTAACTATGCACTATCTGCTGTACCAGATTCTATTGTTGATTCATCCGTGCAGACGTAGTCCAGCAAACATGGTGTGGCTTTGTCACCCTCTGGTGGCTAGACCACCTATACAGGTTTGAGTCGGTTACTGCCTCTAAAACACTAGACCTAGAATTCTGGCTCTGTAGAAGTAATCAGGATTTTTGACACTCTTATTTGGTATCAGGATTGCTTGCCTGTTTCTTAAACTCAAGTAGTAGAGGCTCCTGCTGGTAGATGTCTGCATCCCATATTTATTCCCTGCACATGACTCACTCATAGGATCTTACCAGGTCAGTTCTGCTGAAGACCAGCATAACTGTGGACAGAATTAACCAGACACATTTTTAATTTACATTTGTGGTGATAGCACATGAACTCTATGAAATGCAGTTTAATTCTCAGATTAGTAGTTAATGTTGCAGGGCAGGCATTTAAAAGTATAGCCTCTTAAACTAAATGCCAATAAATTGAACATCAAAGCTCTTTAAATACAATAACGCTAAACTCCATGTTGCTTTTAGAATTATTTTTCATAACAATCTCATAGTTCAGCTAAAATATTCTAAACTTACCATTGGGAGTTCAATGACAAAGATTTTCTTGGCCAATACCAATGGCCAGTTATTAACCAGCCATATCGGCTGATACTGATCCAATAGCAGATTTACAGGAATGCAGCCCAGCAGCTTGGAGAGCAGCATCCTGCTGGTAAGTCTATGGGAGGGAAGGGGCTTTGGGGGGCTGATTGAGACCCCCCATGGTGAGGGAGGGAGAGGGGCAGGCACTGCCCCCCAGATTTGTGCATGGCACGAGGGTGGGCTGCCTGCTGTGGGCTAGGAGCTGCGCCAGACTCTTCCTGGTGCCGGGGGCGCTGGGCCAGGGCTGTTCTCTGAGCGTGCCGGGTGGGTGGCAGTGCTGGGAGGTGTCATTATAGCCACCCCAAAATTCCCTGTAGCCACCCCTCCCAGGACCGACACTGCTTGCCCCGAGTGCAGCCTCAGCCCAACCCTGCTGTTGGGAAGAGGCTGGTGCAGCCCCTGGCCATAAGCCTGCAGCAGGCATCCTGGTTTCACCCCACACGCAAATCCAGGGGGCATATGCCCCCCATGCCTCAGGATTGTGTTGACTGCCCTTGTTGGGCAGTGTCTGACCCTGTCCCATTCCCTCACCATGGGGGCCTTGATCTGCCCCCTACCATGTTCCTCCCCTCCCCTCCCTTCCCTTCCCTGTCCACAGACTTACCAGATGGGTGCTGCTCTCCAAGTTGCTGGGCTGCATTCCTGGCCACATGCATGATGTGGCTGCGTGTGTGTGGCATTAATCAGTGACATTATCAGCTACACTGGCCAAAAAAAGCTAATTGCTGATGATGTCAATTTTCCTTTTATCCGTGCTGTTATGATATGTGACTGATATAACAGTATACCTCATCATTGGACATTAGTTCTATACTTAGCACTCATTAGAATATTGATCAAATGGAACAGTTTAAGTAGGGAATGTTATGGAAGTGTTTCTGAGTTGCAGCCATTGCACTGGATCTCCATTGATGAGCCAAGTTAAAATATTGAGCTATAGTTTAATGTTTAAAAAAGGTATTGGGTATGTTTTTGATTAAGGTGGTAGAAAATAGAACAAAGCAAAAGCACCCCCTCAATAATCCAGTTGTAATGGATAATGCTTGAGATTAGCAGTATAAACACTGAATACTTGTACATCTTGCAACTGAGACAAGATTAGTATGTGCAATCCATGCAGCAAAATAAGATCTAGCTACCTGCCTTGTATGGGCACCGTTTTGGTACAGAAAATGCAAATCTCTATCAAGAAGTGAAAGAAAAGGAACATGTAGGTACAATAAAGCAAATAGATAATGAATTCTAGGAACTATTGCTAAGCAATTGAAAATGCCTGTCACTCTATCGGATAATAATAAATTGCACTAGACTATTTGTATTTCAGTAGCTTAGGCTTTTTTAGCCTAGAAAGATAAATAGAAAACTAGCCCAATTTGTTTAGCTCTTTTGTTCCTTTAAAAGTAAATAATGTTTTTACTACGCAGATGCCAGAATATGTAATGTTTTGACGGACTAGTACAAGTTTGTGGGGTTTTTTTTTTTTTCAAGGCCAGTACATTTATTCAAGAGTATATTTTGAATTATGGATAAGGAAATATTTGGTCTTTTGATTAGAAACATGTTTAAAAACATCCTAAATACAGTGAAATTATCATATTCAATTGATAAATGTGTTTTTTACTCCTTTGTAAAAGTTTTATTTTGTAGCATTAGACACATACTGCTAAATGTTAATATTCAGAAGAAAAAAAAAAGATTTAATGGTACAATCCAGTCATTTGAATAAGCAGTTCATGTTGTATGGTCTTTTATTTTAAAAGGTACCGTTTAAAACCTTTTGAATTATTGTCACACAAAAACACTTCTATCCCTACTGACTCTGTTTCCTACAACTGAAGGAATAACTTAATAGCAAACTTCTCTGCAGTATAAAAAAAGTGACATGATAAAATTGCACTTACTCAACAGTAGATTTGTTGTGATGCATGTCAAATCAGGAAATTTAAAGTTAAAAGTTTTAATGCCTACTAGTGTGTGCATGTGTATATGTAATATATATGTGCTTGTGTCCAGGGTGCTTAAAGATAGAATTATAGGTTATGCATCAATGTCCTGC